TGAAGGCTTCTTCCCTCCACGGGATTCCGCTCCAGTCACAGCAGAGACTCCTTTGCACACTTTCCAGACATTGCTGCCCCGTTCCAGGTACCTCAAGGTCAATAAACACAATATGCAAATCTCATCTGATACCCATCCGGAGTGTAAACAAGACAATGAATGCGCACTGTTGTCAAACACTTTTTCTCTTACTGTTTTTTATGCTTATTTTGTTCGCTGCTTTCAATTGCTGTTTTGAGAACACATTGTTATCTCCTTTAGGGAATAAATTCAATACAATGAGAATAATTAAGTATTCTCAGTTTTAGGGTTTTGAATTCTGTGTCATAACATAGATTTTCTATCTAATCAAAGGAAGTAATGAATAGCAGTACCACCAACAACAATAGTACTCATAGCACCACTGGTTGCAAAATGCTTGGGAAAAACTTACAAGCCTCTTAAGATAGAGTTAGTGGATTTTAGCTACTCACCAGCTTTTTACCTTTCTTATATTCTTATATGGGTGCTAACTCTTAAGGACAATGCAATCTAACAAGTAGTTATAAAAAGTAATGCCCTTCTCTTAGGAAAAAGGAGATAACATTTTTTGTAAAGTATCCTAAATCCAAAGACTTTGTCCGTAACCTTCCTTTCCCCCTTAGTGTCTTGATATCAAGTTGCAATAGAAGCTTGCTGTTAGTGGATCCGCCGTTTAAAATGGTACTTAATACGAATACCTAATCAGAAGTTTTTTGTTTTTTTTTTTTTTTTGCTTAACTTGCTTTGTGAAAATGAACTGCAAGTCAACTAAGATATTTAAAATAAGGAAAAGAAAGTCTTCCCCTACAGTGCCTCCAGGGTGAGTCATGGACTCAATCACCTGCTATATTTATCTCATGAAGGAATCAATGCCACTGCTGCATGTTCTTTCATGGTAAAGATTTTGAAAGCCAAGAGCTAAAAATCAGTCCTACCACATATGCATTGTTAATATGTTCAGAACAGCTCTATAAGAAATCCTGTTGTGTAGTAAATCCTATTAATTTCTCCATGACATTGATACCATAAATTTACCTGCAACCTCATTTGTACCTATATGCATTTGTTATTGTTAAATGAATACCCTTAAGAAACTTCGTATTACCACAGATATGAAAAGAGAGATTTTTAAAAAAGTATTCTGCAATCTTAATTCCCCATGTTCAAAGGGCTCAACTTAAGCAATGATTGTGAATCCTAATTAAATACTACAAAACTCATCCTCTTTGTCTACATCAGTCTTCAAGCTACAAGAAGGGAAAAGAACTTGTTCTTGACTTTTCTGGCCTGTGTATTATCACTCTTGAACATAGGCATGATGTTGGATCTTTCAGAAGGCACTGTGCTTCTATGCAGTGACAAACCATTAGGATGTAGAGGGAAACATTCCTTTTTCCAGATGTTACTGCATATTCATGATAGATTTTGAATTCCCTCAACAGATACAAGTGCCTTCTTGTCTCATGGACTCAATCAGGAGATATGAATATTGATAACTGATTGGCAAAAGTGAAGTCAGTGTGTGACCTGTCCTGAAAAGATGGTGGCTGCATCTGGAAACAGTAATGTGTTTGGGGAACAATGGAGTAGAGTCAGAGACGCACCTACTAAGACATTTTGGCTGCTGGGCACCTGAACATGAGCAACGTGAAGCTTCTGGTGCATATTTCCATGGAGAGTTTTCTGATAATGTATCAGTTTATAGCCACAAAAACACTATAAGACAACTGAGCACACTTTTCAGTGGCTGACAACCATAAGCATTAATTTTGCTCATGCACTAAGGGATGACTAAGCCCTTCTGCTGACCTGGGCCACGCCTAACTGATTGCAGCTGGGCTAGCTCTTGCATCAGCTGGTGGTTTGGCCTGGGCCAGGCTGGCCTAGGGTAGCTTTGGTTTGGATGATTGTCTCTGCTCTCTGGTCTTTCATCTTGTGATAGGCTAATCTCAGCTTTTCCTACAGTGGAGGCAGGGGTCTGAGGGAGGAAGTGGAAACACTTGAGGCCTGGGAGGCCTACTGTGAGCATAAGCCAAGTCACCTCTGCTGCATTCTATTGGTTAAAGCAAGCCACAGCTCAGCCCAGACACAAGAGTTGGGCTACACCCTCTACTTCTTGGTGGGAGGAGCTAAAATGTAACTTTGCAAATGGAATAAATACAGAAAAAGGTGAAAATTCAGGGCCATTTTTGCAGTTAGTCCATTATAGATGGTTTATTATTGAGAAACATCTATACATCCATATCCATATAAAATTACATGTCTATATCTCTTTTTGATATTATAGTTGACCCCTGATCCAGAGAAGGAAGGGATAGAGTGTAACAATCTCTGCTTTCTGGTGGATCTCCTGTTATTGGGTAAAAGGGAATATGATCAGAAAATCACAAATATCAAAAGAATAGAATGGATAACTAACAAATGATTTATATTCCATATATGTATGTCACACTTAATAAAACAAAATTATGGCCAAGTGCGGTGGCTCACACCTGTAATCCCAGCACTTTGGGAGGCCGAGGAGGGCAGATCACGAGGTCAGGAGTTCAAGACCAGCCTAACTGACATGATGAAACCCCGCCTCTACTTAAAATACAAAAATTAGCTGGGTATGGTGGTGCACACCTGTAATCCTAGCTACTCAGGAGACTGTGGCAGGAGAATCGCTTGAACCCAGGAGGCGGAGGTTGCAGTGAGCCGAGATCGCACCACGGCACTTCAGCCTGGGTGACAGAGTGAGATTGCATCTCAAACAAACAAACACCCCACAAAACTACATAGTAGCAAAATGTACTTGATAATATTAAACTTTTAAGCAGTCATTTAGAAATGGCTGAGAAAAATGATTAGGAAAAGAGGGTGAAAACCTCCAACACTTACGGAAAGTCCTGTAGCTATCAGCGGCAGAAAGCAATCCTTAGTTTTCCATATATCCCAGAGGGAATGAGAAAGTCAACTGGACTGAGGCTGTAGACCCACGATGGGGTTAGTTTTGTGGGTGGGTGGTGGGGGTGAGCTGATGCTGTGGGAGGAACTACAGGTGTATCATCTTTCCCAGGTGCCAGACAGTGGCTGTGCCTGAGGTTCTGAAAGTTTAGTCTCATGCAGTTGTTGTAGATTACTCTCCTTAAAAGTTCTGTGATACTGTCTTGTTTTCTCATTGCAAATATTCTATATGTGTGTCTTCCAGAACAAAATGGTTTTAGGTAGAAGCAGGCATAGCACAAAAAGGAAAGAATAATGAATTGAATCTATATTCAGTGTGACAGTGGAAATTTGACAGTTACATATCTGAAATCAATATTAAAACATAAATACTGACTTTACAGGGTCCTATCCGACACATCGGAATCATATAAAAGTCAAGTGGCTGCAATAGGGCAGAACTCTGCCTTTGATTGACCCAGACCATCACCAGCCATGAACTTTAGGGATAGGTGACATGCCCACGAGGGACACATGAGGTTGTGTTTTTCCAAACACCAGTACCTTCCCTCCTACGTGTTCTAAGTGCAAGGTGACCTTGTTTGCTCCACAGAGACAGATAGAGTCTAATTCCTCTCCTCAGAACCTTGACTGGCTTAAGTGACTCACTTGGAACCAATAAAATGTCATGGACAGGGTACTGTGGTTTTTCTGGCCAGGTCATAAAAGGCCCTGTAGCTTCCCCCTGGTTCTTTTGGAGCCCTTGACTCTGCAGACACCCCCAGGCCCCATGGTCAAGAGTCCTGGGCATACCCAGGCTTTACTGCACCCAATGCAGCTCAGGAACCAGATGTGAGCGAAAATGCTTCCAGCTGAGAACAGTCAGCAGTTGTTTGATGCTCCCGGAGTGATCCCAAAATCATGAGCCTCATGAAGCCTTAGGCATCATGAGTTGGAACGAAACTCTCTAAATTTCTGGCCCGCAGAATCCATGAGCATAATACAATAGTTGTCATCTCACAACACTAAGTTTAGGGTGGTTTATTACACAGAACTATATAACCAGAAAGACCCAGGACAGGATGAGAGTCACAGCAGACGAAGCACCGTGCACCATCTCCCTGAGAGTGTGTAAATTTGTCACTTTATGGAGGCTCTGTGGTTGTGGGGTTGAGCTGACCCCACAGGAGACACTATAGGTGCATCACCTGTGCCAGGTGCTAGGGAGTGGCTATGTCTGAGGCCCAGAATGTTTGGTCTCATTGGGGTGGGATGGGCAGAGAGGGAAGGGCAAATATTTGAAAAGGGAAAGCACCTTGGTAATAAACTTTGGACACTGAATTTGGCTATTATTTCAGAAATGACTATAATCTGCTGAGTGTAGTGGTTCACGCCTGTAATCCCAGTACTTTGCGAGGTTGAGGCGGGAGGATCACTTGATGTCAGGAGTTCGAGACCAGCCTGGTCAACATGGTGAAACCCCAACTCTACTAAAAATACAAAAATTGGCTGGGTGTGGTGGTGTGCACCTCTAATCCCAGCTAGAGAGGCTGAGGTGGGAGAATCTCTTGAGCCCGGGAGGTGGAGGTTGCAGTGAGCTGAGATTGTGCCACTGTACTCCAGCCTGGGAGACACAGCGAGACTGTCTCAAAAAGAAAAAAAAAATAAAATAGAAAAGAAAAAGAAAAAAATTAGTATATTCATATGAAAGACACTAAAACTTGAACCTTAACATTTTAATCCATTCTCCACCCCACAATCAGATAGGATCCTCAAGTAAGACAAGAGTCATCTTACAAAAGAGACAGTTACATTGATCACACTAATCAACTTGTAGAATTAAATGTTGAGTCTTAGCATTAGTGGTTACAATCACTGTCTTGATTAAAGTTAGTTACTTTGTAGAGACTTTGGGGTTGTGAGAGGTAAAATGAACTAAGATGTGAATGCTATTTGTAATTTTTATTGCAATTGAACATTTTTATTCATCAAATTGTATTGACAATTAGCGATTTAAGATAAATAATTTAAAGCTGTGTTGCTTTCTATCTTACCTTGAGATAATTTGTTTTCTTTATGTTTTGGTATCTGAAGTAAGTGTCACCCCATTACTGTATCAGATTTATGAAGGTTCATTTGCAGCAACGAATTCCCTGCGTTAGGGTCACTTTGTGCTCACAAGTGTCACATTCCCTTCTTTTCATCTGTAAAATGAGCATAGTGTAAGCAAAGAAAAACCCAGTCAAGCACAAATCAGCAAAGGATATCTGAGTCATGTGAGACAGCAGCATCTTGACATCTGGCCCACGGGGGAGAAAAACAGGAAAATAAGTCACAAGAAAAATGAACAAGGCTGTTACAAATGGTGGATAATTATCTAATGAAAATACACAGTTTTAGTTGTATTTTTTCACTTTGCATTTCAATTAATGGTGCAAGATTTCAGCAACTGTGTATATCATCTTATTGAATGTATTTCCTAGTAAATGCCTCATTGAGGCCAGATGTAGAATTACTCAAAAATTAGTCAGCAGTGATCCCAAAAGGCACGAATGATCAAACGTTGCCGCTAAGAGGTGATAGATGAGCTCTCGGTAGAAGCGTCTAGTGATGGGTGAAATATTCATGTTTCTTTTTCCATTTTACAAGGAGATGCTGCTGTGTAAAGAGAGGCCTCATCACATGTGGTTTTGTGGTTGTCTCTGAGCCAGCATGATTACTCACATCAAGAAAAACTGACATATTGGATATTTCACCAAGTTTTACCATAGATCAGACAAGTAGAATTAATAAAGGATATTCACAAAGACACAAAACAAGTATTTTAAAAAGAATGAAGTCCAGTGAGAAAAGTACAGCAGAAGGCACTGATGCTGTGTTCATTAAACACTGCTGTGCCAGAAAGAGGGCTTGTCTCAGGCACCTAGCCAATATATTTGTACAGGTTTACAATGGCCCTATTTTCTACTATTTAATGCACTTATTTTCAAATGTTCGGAAAAATATCTTGTTCTTTGCAGTGCAGTGTCTTTTCAGTTCATCTAGATAAGAGAGAGACACTCTTCCTTTTTGTGTATCGTCCAGGGTTCTTTTATAACAACAATAACGAGAATAACAATACTACTTCACAATTACATTGTAAGTTTATACTTATTTATTTCCTCAGTTTAAGCGTGCTAAGCCTTCTTAGATAAATAAGGCAGTCCTAAGTCAACCAGTGGAATAGCATAAGGAAATTGGAGGGCTTCTTTGTTAACTACTCATATGGAAAAATAACATGAGACTGAATTGCCTGCCAGGGGATTTGAGTCCTATTTCTAATGCTATTTCTTAATGACTTCAGTGAAATCACAGAACTGTTTGTCTTTGTTCCCTCATATGGAAGTTGAATCCCAAACCAACGTTGACCTATTAAATTGTGTGATACTCTCTTTACTAAAATTTCCACACAAATGTACATAACACAACTTACACATTTTTAAAGAATTTGAAAGCAAGTTGTAAAATAATTTGAGCAAATATGCGTGATATAAATGTGGGTGGACAATATCTTATGTTAGTAGATGTTTCTTGCTGATAAAGAGGATGAATAGCATACAGATTAGGCCCTCAGATTCTGCACCCACAGCTACTGAATATAAATTCTAGCTCAGCTTTACAAAAGTTACCTTGCATTTTTCTGCCTAATTTTCCTTATCTGTAAAATGGGATGGTAATGGTATTCACTGAGATAATTACTGTAAATATGAAATGATGTAATATATGTAATTAAAAGAAGGCTGACACATGTTAATTACTACATGCAAGTTGTTATTGTTAAATGCTGGTTAACATTTTAGTAGCAATTGACCTATCTTGAATTCTCACTAGTAACTCGTTCAATTCTACCAAACAATGAGTCTTCATTTTACTTTGCATTATCATTTTATTTTACCTAATAAATTTGCCGAGTTGGAGTTATACTTCTAGTCACTTGCTTTCACCATTTTGAGAACAGTTCAGTTGATAAAATGGAGGCATTTATGTTCCTTTGCTATACCAGTATTTCCAGTTGTAATTTTTATGGTGTGTGTGACCTCTTTATTGTGATTCTAGATTTGTAATGTATTATTTCATAGTGTAAACCTTTGAAAGTGAGACTGGTATATGTAATTTGGAGAGAATTGTTTTTTGGGAAAATGTTTCTCAGTAAATGAAGGTGAAATAGTCACATAGAATGAGCCAAACACCATGATGTCTCTTAAACACTCTTAAAATATTTTTAAAGGCAAATGTGACTTAGTGCTTTCATATCTAAGCTGTAAACTGGCTTGTAGCCAGCTCCAAATATTTTACGTTAAATTGAATTATTCGACTAATTGATAACTCTTGAATATTTGTCAGGTAATTGCTAAGTGCAAGGGAGTATGGGAAAATATTACGTTCTACTCCGTGGTATATTTGCACTGACATAAATAATACACTAATTTATATAACATGGAATGATGCAGCATTGTAGATCCCAAGATTATGGGAAGCCTAGTTTGGGAAGCAGAGAGAGATATATTTTGATGTTCCTAATATTGTGTGTGTTTGTGTGTGTGTGTGTGTGTGCATTTACCTGTACCTATATCTATATCTGTGTGTGTATTTGACAAAAAGCAACTTGATCATAGATTTTGGCAACCATACGTAAAACTGAATATTTTAACAGATTGTTTTCCTTTTATTTAATTAAAAAAGAAAAAATTCATTTGCTTATATTCTGTGATATACTTTTGATTTTAATAACAATTTTAAGGCATTATATTGGAACTAAATCAATTGAAGCTATATGGTCCATGCAGTCTTTTTCTGAATTCATTATTTGCTAACATAGTCTGCCATACTTGAACAGAATGCGGTAGTAAAGAGGTTTGGACACAGGCCAAGTAACAATAAGTTTCTCACATTCTTGTTGACTCCCCTAGTTTATAAATTTCAAAACATTGTGAAAGTTTGCCAAAGAAATAGTGTTTGGTCTAAATATTGAATAAATGGTAGACAGTAAATAAGGGTGGAATCATTTGAAACCAACAAAGCATAGAAAAATACAAAGAAAAGTTGAGATTCTATAGGCAATATAAAGACGCTTAAATAACTCAAGAGCCTATCGTTTTCCAGTAACATTTAGAAATTGTCACATTGATGACTTATTGATAATGTCATAAATCTTTGTTTATGATTAATGAATGAGATGTAACACTATGATATAAAATTTAATGATTTGCTCTTTCAATCAAATGGAAGAAAAATTTATTTTTAGATTATTTTAAATTAAGTAAAAAAAATCATTTGAAGTTTGTAAGTTCCACTGGAAAAACTGAGTTTTGGATGTCTCAGGGGACTGGATTTATCATTTAAACAATGTATTCAGTTTTATGTTGTCAGTTATGACCAGTGAAGGTTTTCAGTTGAAAGCACATGCTTTCAACTCTTTTATGAGAATTAATACTTAAAGCAATGATATGGGACACTTGTTCAATAATCTTCTATCAAATTTTCATCCCTTGAAATCTTTTAAATTGATGATACCACTCTCTGTATGTCCCTCAAATGAGTCTACAGGGAGGCATCATGCAATTCTGCCTGCTTTATGTCTCTTCCTTATCACTATTCAACTATTGATACTATTATAGTTTGTTCTTTTCTCCAAGGATACGTAACAAAAGAAGAATATTATGGTGTAAATGATCCAATTTTAATAAAATAGATAATGTAATCGGCATTTTTTCCCACATAGGGATTCTAACAAATTTAACAAAAGTACATTTTATTTTTATTTCATTCACATACAATGTTTCTTTCAAAATTTCCCAAAAGTTCTGTCTTTTTCAAATATCACATAAATGCTTTTAATTTCAAAAACAAAACTTTTAGGTATCTGGCTTGCATCAGGAGAAAAACTTTTCAGGACTATTTTTGGTTTGTGATTAAAGAACTCAAGAAACATACCGGATAACTGCGTTCATTTAACGTTTACTCAGCTTGGTTTATTGAAGACCTGTTATCTTGGTACTTTGCTAGGTGTGGGATACAATTTTGGGCAAAAGAAAGATAGACTTTACTTTCCTGAAGATTGTAGTCAACTGAATCAACATTCCCCTCAAAATCTGCTCTTTCAGAAAATGAAAGCAAAGAAATCTCTATCTGGTAAACTTACGGTTCATAGAATCTTAACAGTCTGTTTATGTCAGGACTGCCAAACATATTACTTCAGCAAATGTATCAGTTGATTTACATGATGCTGACCCTCTAGAATCATAATCAAGGTTTACTTATGGAGTCAACGAACACTTATGGGACATATAGTAGCATGTAAACACTGGAGAGTTTTAAATTATTGTATACTTAGCACTGTATGGTACTTAGTAATGCTCAATAAATGTTTGTGGAATTCGTGAATGGAAGATTAGATGCATGTACCACCACCTGGAGATACCAACTTAATTCTTATCCTCAAGGTTATGCCCTTGTGGAAGAAATAGACAAATGTTTGTTGCACTTTTAATTAGGCCCATGGTAAAGAGAAGTCCACGTGTGCCCTCCCAGGGGCAGGGAAGGCTTTCTACAGGCTGAAATGGCTTTGAGAGAGCTCTAGGTGTTAGATAATGAGGGAGGAAGTTTTGTTTAGTCAGCAGTAAAGCATAAATTAGAATTTTATAAGTAACTGAAACAGTGATCCCTAATAGACAGTTCTGTGATGATGAAAATGTCGTAAATGTGCAGAGTCCAATGCAGTAGCCATTTACCACGTGCGGCTACTGGTCACTTGAAGTGTGGCTCATGTGGCTTAGGAACTGATATTTTAATTTCACTTAATAAAAACTTAAAGAGCCAGGCATGATAGTGGCTATGTATTGGATGGCCTTGATTTGGAGGTTGGCAGGGTGAGAGGCTGAGGAACTCGTAAGGAAGCTGTCACGTAAAGCCAGACACGGTGGGAAAAACACGATTTTTCCCAGTGGCAGTGGGGATAAATATAAAAAGATGAGTTCAAAGGAGTTTCAGGAAGAGGAGGAAAACCAGGAGACTGCCACTTTCTGGGTGAACAGCCGGGTACGGCACCCAGTCATTTAGTGCTACAGGAAACAGAGAAGGCAGGCCTGTAGAGTCAAAGGTGACTCATTATCTTTGAGATACAGAAGAAAAGAAAGGCCAAAGATGAAGACATGGGTGAGCACTG